CACCCGAATTTAATCATGCATCCAAAATTCCTTAATTAATTTCTAAGAATTACAATCTCTAATGAAAAAATCATCGCCATAAACATGTCAGCCTCTATTAGTGAATCAATACTAAAATCAGATTATAAATCACAGTCAATTGAAGTCAGGAACTTCCTAAAAGTCATTCAACATCAGCTCAATTTCCCTTCAAGACTCAAACATGATGACAATCCAAGTAAATAAATAAAAAAAATGCTTGATAAAAGCATGAATGAGTGAATAGACAATAACAATGTTTATAGGAAAGATGAGAATGAGGAAAAAATTGAGACTAAAGATTTGAACGAGACATTTGTTTCTATCGACATGTATACATTGTTTGACTACATGCATCCATGTATATGAGAAAATTTCTGTTAACGTAAACAGCTTTCTGCCTCACATCTCTGCACATCTTTCAATCTAATGACAACACGTATTTTCTTTGACATGGAAAGTGTAATTAATTAGATTAATTTTCCTACTTTACGCTTTATATTTTATAGATGAAAATTGCTGATATGTTAATGCATTTTATGCTTCTTTTGACTCTTAGCAGCTTACGTCGTCTACATTAGCTTTGATGATGCTGAAAAGTGAAATATTTCAATTTTGTTTTGGGTTTGTTTGGATGTGATGGATCTTTTTGTTTGTAGCTCAGATAGCAGAAAGGGCTTTATCCATATTTATCACCAAACTTACGCATTGTAAATGCCAAATAATTAGATATGGTTCTTCAAAAAACATAAGGTATGCTCTACTTAATATAACCAAATTTAATTGATTAAGGATTAAAACCTACAAGGATCTGTGGTATCTGAGCAAAAATGGAATTTGAGGTATCGAGCCCTATATAGGTGAATATGCCAGCATAACAATAAGTCCTCTATGGCGCGAGTGGTTAGGTACAGTCCCTTTATTGTGAGAAGTTGGTTCGATTCCTACCAGAGACCGATCTGTCAATCATTATATAGAGTTTTGTCAATATGACAAGACAATCAATCTTACTAGCATCAAACTTACTGATATCAAACTTACTAGTTTTATACGAGTATTTCATCAAAGAAACTGACTTTTAACTGAACCTACCGCAAATTCATCGTTACATAATATCAGAATGACTTACTTTAAAAATTGCATAAAAAACCCAAATGACTTTGTCACTTATTACATATTAAATTAGACCCCCTTTATCACTTATTGCAAAATTGATTCTCTCCAATTTAAAATACTTTGTAGTCATATTCTTCTTTATCCTCGCGTGCCTCAAATTGAATTGTAAAACAGTTGCCGTTTCAAGCCATTATTGCTCTAAATACTTCCCCACCATCTCGATGTTAATGCAAATAAATAAGAAATGAGGGACGAGAAACCATATCTCATGACATTTTAAGAAACTTTTAGATTTATTTTTTATGTATTTCTTATTTCTTCTTGCCACTAGCGGTGTCTGTACAAGCAGACAAGAAGAAAAGTTTCAAATTCTTTCGAAATGAGCGAAAATAATCAAGAAGTAGAAGAATAAGAAGGAAAGTGAAAAAGTTTTCATTTCTCGAAAGAACACTTTAAAAAGCTGTAATTTATGTTTTATTGTTTTTGAGCAAGTACTGTCGTGTACAGACTCTACACAATTTGTGCACATAATAAAATTTAATTTTCTTTTAAGAAAACTTTTTTCCTTACTTCTTATTCGATTCTTTCGAGCATCTCATCTGGAGCTTCATAATTCAATCATTGTGACACTCTTGTAAAGTTGTTGAGTTATTATAAAGATGAAATGTGATACAAAGAAGACTTTAGGAGGGATAATGGTTGATTAGGTTTGGAAGCAGAGTTCTCTGGGGAAGATTTTGGGGCTGTAATGGACATCCTATTCTGGAAAAAAATGAAGTTCTTTACTTAAAAATCTAAACATAAAATTATACTATGACTGCAGGGGCGTAGCCAGAGGGGCATAGGGGGCCCGGGCCCCCCTAAGAAAATCTGATAATTGCTTTATTAAGTATTTATAGAGAAGAACCAGTTAATGTAGAGGAAGTGATGAAAGAAATGTCAAAATCAGAATAATGAATTAAATATTTAAACTTATGAAGAATGAATATAGATTTAAGAATACAAAATAACGGTTTTTTAATTTTCGAAAATGGGCCCCCCCTTAAAAATTTTCTGGCTATGCCCCTGTATGACTGGGTCCAGAGAAGCCCTATAAACCGGGCCTCTTGCCATTTCAGTCCCATCCGATGGAACGGCTTAAATGATTTCCCCAATAAATTCTACTTCGGCTACACTACTGCATCCCAATGTTCTTTCTCACTTGATACTATTCATAAAATAAATTTTGAACTATAAATTAAATGCAAATTCAGTAAACAGGAAATACCACATCAATTGAATATGAAAGTGACCCTTCAAAACCCTCAAAAATTGTTCTTTGTAATAAATATTAATTTAATATTATTATGTGAAAATGAATTAAATATTCAACAAACAAAAAAATTTAAACTCTCCTTTGACGATAAAAATATATCGAAAAACTTTTAATTTACATAATTTAAAGGAATGAAGAAGAAGCAAAAAAAATTAATTTCATTCCGAAAATGTCAGAAAAGGCAAGCGAGAGAACCGAAAAATAAAAATTCCCAAAAGCTCAAAAGCATTCTATTAAAATTTTCATTTTTAATGATATACAGTACAAAATGGCACAGCTTGGGGTTTAAAGATTCAGAAGGAAATAAAATACAAAATTGAAACATTTGAAATAAAAAAAAATCGTCCTAAAAATGGCAACTACAAGTTTCTAATGTGAATTTATCGGCACTGTAAAATGTCAAAGATATTTTAAAGTTCACAAATGTTGAAAATTAGAGACCGAACGGAATTAAATCTTCATTCAATTTTGCTGTATTCTTTACAATGTTGGGGAAAATTTGCTCGACTAAACCGACTACAATGACTCTTTCGAATCTTTTCAAACATTTTCCATGTCAATAATCTTTTTAAGTCTTTTACATCTTCTTCATAGTAGTTTCATTTGCTGAAGAGTGGGTTTTGATAAAAGTTTTGTTGATGATGAGGCACTTGTAGATGAAATTTTAATAAAATTCTTAAAAACAAAAAAAAATGAAACATTCTCAGCTTTTTTGTCACTAGAGCTTTTTTGAACTTACTAGAGCTTTTTGGAACTTACTAGAGTAATTTCGAATTCAATAGAGCTTTTTTAAACTTTCCGAATTTAATAAACCTGTTGCGACCTTACTAAAGAGTTTTGAATTTACGAGAGCTTTTTCAAATTCAATAGAGCTTTTTTGAACTTAATATTTTGAATTTTTTGAATGTTATTAACCTGCTGCGAAGAGCTTTTCAATCTTACTAGGCTTTACAAAACTAAACAGAGCTTTTTTGAACTTACTTAAGCTATTTTGAACGTACTAGAGCTTTTTCGAATTCAAATGTGCTTTTTGAACTTACTAGAGCTTTTTCGAATTAAGTAGAGCTTTTTTGAACTTAATATTCTGAACTTTTCGAATTTAATAAACCCGTTGCGACCTTACTAGTACCTTTCGATCATACTAGAGCTGTTTTGAACTTAATAGAATTTTGTAGAACTTAGTCTACCTTCTTTAACAGAAATTTTAGCTTTATGGAAAATAATCAAACCATTCAAAATAAAATCTAAAATTTTAAATATAAAAATTATCAAAAAAGCCCATCTTTCATCAACTCTGCCAAAAACTCCCTTTTCCTTTTCCTTTCTTTGGTTTCCAAAAAGCAAAAAATATAATGAAATATATAAAACATGAATGAACATCGACAATGAATGATGTTGTAGGCCACTCTATCCATATAAGCATTATTGTCTATATACATTCAGATATATTTGAATGCACATACACAGAACTGCATCTACAAATGAACACACAAAATAAATATGGCAAGAGTTTATTTGAGTTTATATTTTGGCCACACACAAAAGAGAGGAACAAGAAAAAAGGACATAATGGAAAATTTGGAAAGACACGAATAGGCCACAAAAGATGTTGTGTATTTCTATTCAAAATGCGATTATGCATGTTTGTACGGTACATGGAGAGTGAGAGATGCGGCAACATCAACCAAAAACTATATATACAGACATAGAGGTACATAGAGTAAAAATGCAATGCTCCAGGGCATCTCCATTTAGTGATTTGCATTATTTAATAGGTCAATAGAGGAAAAGCATGCAAATGCACTTTAAAATCTCTTCCTAATGTCCAAGTCTATTGTGTATCTCGTTTTGAAATGTATGCATTTTCTCTTATTTGTGTGCATGTGGATGGAGATGTGGCATGCCATGCATAACGAAAATTCTATTTTGTGCATTATCATGTAAATGTAAAAGAGGAAAAGCTCTTTCTTCCTTTGTGATTATAATTTGTTTATCATTAATTTTACCAAATGATTTTGATTTACCATGTTACTTACTTACCCATTTTCTCATTTCCTCTTGTTAAAATTATAGCTCTCTTGGTGGTTTACAAGACTTGTGTCCTTTTTGTGGCTGTGCTGATGCTTTAGACCAGTGGTGTGCAACCTTTATTGTGCCACAACACACCTTGGTAGTAAGCCATAAACAAAAATACACATGACAAACGGTTTGCTTATATCAAACTTTTTCGCGGCACATGTGTTGACCATTCCTGCTTTAGAGCTTTAAGCTAATTTTATTTGACTTTTAGATTTATCTACTCTGTGCATTAAGTCAGAATCTTCTGGAGGAAGATGCATTTAAAGACATTCGATTAGATGTCTAGGACTAGTGTAATTATCAATTAAAGGGAGCTAGAAGTGCAAGACAGTCTAAACCTCATTCAAAAAATAAAAGTGTCTCTATCTGAGACTTACAAAGGCACCTAAGGGAAGGAATCACATGTGATTAACTAAAATTAATGGTATAAATCAAAAATATTAGAGTTTAGGGTATGTTAATTTAAGGATCCATAGAAACCAACTCTAGCGTCTCCCTTAATTCTTTTATAGTCTCTATTACAACTTAACACACTACAATACCGATAATGTCATCAAATGTCGAAACTATAGAACTCACATGTACACTCATCATGAATATTCGTCCAAATAAAAGAAAGGATGTGTAACTTAAGCATCAATTTTTAACCATTTAGTGATCATCAATGAGTAAATTTACTTCTCAACATCAATTGCAACCCTTTTACGGAAACATAAACGTAATTTTAATGGAACATGAAGTTCATGAATTTTTAATTACGGCTATGCATAATGCTTGCATAATCAATTGAATTGGATGCTCAACTCTCCGTGGCGGCAGTAGTTTCCGAAATGTATATATATGTGTATGTATCAACCTATATGCAATTTGTTCTCCTCTCATTCTCTGTTGTTGCCAATCGATTCGCATAAAAGTATTTATTCATTGGTGTGTGAATAAACTCGTTGTTCGAGGATGAAAACAAAAAAAAATGATGAAATTGTACGGCTATAGTTGCAGTGCACTGTCTATATGGAAATTCGAAAAATTTGTTTTTTTTCACTCTCACAATAATCTACGCTGGAAAGAAATGGATGGGGGAGGAAATGCAGGATGATGAAATTGGGTCAGTGAATTTGTAGTTCTGAACGGATTTTCCGTCCACTTCAATTATAAAATTTGATTTCTAATTATTGATGTCAGGAAATGAGCTAAGGGGTCACGTCTGAATTTAACGGTCATTTTTCAAAAAAGAACAATGGATTTACAAGAAATTTATTTTTTTTGCTACTCCTCTCCTCCTCTTGTCGTCATAAGGGGCCGTTTACTTATAACGTAACGCAAAAAATGACTTTTTAGACCCCCCCCCTTCCCCCTCGTAACAAAATTTGTATGAATAAAATTTCTTTTGTTTGAACCGTAATAAAAACTTAGAACCCCCCTCCTTCTTAAAAGCGTTACGTAATAAGTGAACCGGCCGCTTAAGAATTCTAGTAACTTAGATAAAAACAAAGCCTTAGAACAAAAAAAATATTTTTATTATGAGAACAAATGTTGTCCATTATTGTTGTTATCAAATGATTCAATTGTGCTTCTGATCCATTCAAGATAAAAGTTGACTTTGGTGTAGATACTCGGCTTTGATGAACCACATTTTAATCCAATTGACTTAATACCATAAATGTAATTTAATGTACCTATTGTGCCTATATAAAATGTTGAAAAATAAAACCAAGCTAATCATTTTAATAATAATTTACCTTTTATAAAGTTAATTTCATGAATTAGAGGACCTAGAAATAAATTTTAATTAATTTATGAATAAAATTTATTTGATATTTAAGTTGACTTTACCTCCATAGTCTCCAAAACAGTTTTCAGCGCCATTGTAACCCTTCACGATTAATTGAGTGTCTTTGAACTGATTTTTTGGTTCATGAATATTACTGGTCGCTTTAAGGAGCCAATCTGATTTATATTCATCTAAAATGAAAATTAAATTAAAATCGTTTTAATCGAAAAATATGTCTCGAGTATTCGTTCCAGGGAAGTAGCGAAGGGAGAATTGGGGTTGGTGTCAAAACTAGTTTTAGAAAGTAGTTTTTACTGATGTGAAAGTCGATGTTACTAGCAGACAAACAGCATGAGTGTTCTCAAAAATGTATTGACTGAGCTAACTCATGAAAGCGCCCATAGTATGGTTTTTGCCAGTTAACAATTATAGCCACAGGAGTCAGCAATTAAAAACAAAAAACCAAAAGGATTTAAACTTAGAATCTCTGAATGATTTTCTTTCCGAATATCACGTCAGCTTGCAAGTCCCCAAAGCAGACAGTAAGTCAATTTGGAGTCAAAGTAGACTCCATGGTTAAGAAAATGCGTTAAGAATTCAAAAACTTCCTTAAAAATTTCTGGCTATGCTCTTGGATCATTCACAAATGAGGTCTATTAAAACATTGAATTTAAGGTTTTTAAGGTAAAGTAAGGTTTTTAAAGTATTATAAATAAATCTCAAAAACTTATCACCTCCACCAAAACTGATATTGTATCCAGTTATTGTAAAGTTAAACGGAATATCCACATCATTTGTTGAGAGACATATCGGACTTATATTAGTAAGGTGTTGATTATAAGAACGCTTGAGCTTGATCAATCCAATGTTATTAGCCCTTTCTTGAGTATGCCACGAAAAATGAGGATGTGGTACTGAACGTTGAATTTCTATGACTTCACTTTTTGACGTATCTAGTGGATTGTCGATCAGAGATGTCTTTAAGGAATTAAATAATAATTTAATATAATAATTTAATTTAAAAAAAATGAAGCAACTCACAGCACCAAGTTTAACAACTGCTGGTTGTCTTGGATTTCTTAAACAGTATGCAGATGTAATGACAATATCCTCATGAATCAATGCTCCACCACATACATATTCATACTCGTTACTAAGCCTTTGTAGTTTATACCCAATCATTGCTTGAAATTTAAATTCACCAACTTCTGCATAAAGGTTGCTTTCGATGTTTGATATTAGTTCTATAGAAGGTTCTTTATGCTTGCATGTAATTACTTCAAATTTCGTAAAAATTATGCCATTATATTTCAAATTATGTGGCTGAAGTAGCGATGGACAACATACAAGCTGATCTCTATTACCAGAAAGGCAAAGATTATTTTTAAAATCTTCTGGAATGCTTTCTGGATCTTTTGTTCCGTAGTCGCATTTATTAGGTTTTTGGCAAAATCCTTTCAAAGTTTCGTTAAAAACACATTCATCGCCGATCTCTAATCCCGAATTTACACTTCCTTGACCGAGAACTACAACGAAATCTAATGCAAAAACAATCAGGAATATCAAAACAAAACTTTGTGTTTTTCGCAACATTTTGATAATATTTTGATATAGGAACGAGTAATCATTCCATCTAGTTGATTATAGGTTGAAATATAAACTGAGAAGAGTCAATTGCATGCTCGTTGAATTTATTGTGAGTCTTTTTTATTCTCTTTTTAAATTATTTTCTCAGAGTTTCGACGAGTTCAACTTTATTATTTTGCTTACTTATGTCTGAAAAGATTTCTTTTGGAGTTTGTTATCAAAAAAATGAAATTTTTCAGGAATTCCCTAGTTTTAATTACTATCAAAACATTTGAGCTAAGTCACATGTTTTTTCACATCTATATGTGTGCAGATCAGAAAACACTAGCTTCTTGATTGTTTAATCCTAAAATATAATATGATTTGAACACTTCTCAGTTGAATTATATATCACGGAGAACATAAGTGCGACTGATAATCTTGGAATCATTTAATGATGCTGTATCTGTATAATTATTTATTCCTTTCGTCGACCAATCCATTCTTATAGAATAAAATTGCTAATTATCGATCTTTTTAAAATAAAAAGTCTTAACAGACTGAACAAACCAAAAAGATTGTAATAATAACGAATGAGGACATAAAATAAGCTTGTTACACAAAAGCCACAGTGACACTGATCTCAAATAAGAATCGTTCATTAATAACATACATCCATTTCCACAACAAACGATAAAAAGATGGGAAAATAATCCATTGGGAAAATATTTGTTCAATTTCTCACCAAATTACTTTTCCATTAAGATGAAAGGAAAATGTTGAAAAAGTCAGAAAGCCTCCATCTGTACAAATATTTGCTTTCATAAAAAAGAAACTTTATCAATATCACTAAAAATCGAACGGAATGAACAAAAGGAATGAAAAAGTTTCAATTTTATCTTTACAACTCATTCCCAAAAGCCATTTTTTATTATTATAAAATTGAAAAATTTTCGCTCTCTTTTTTAAACCATTCTCAAGTGACTTTTATGGGACTTCCATTGCTTTTTATTTCCATCCTTTTGTTGTCGCTCGCTTTAGGCAATAAAAAAATTTGTTGAAAATGAAAAATAATGTATGACTGTATATAGCTAAGGGGGTAGCAACATAATGGGAACTTCCACTTTCTAAATGAAATTCTCTGAATTTCCCACCAAAACTAGAATTTTGAAAAATTGTCGAAAAATCCTCTCAAAAAATGATTCCCATCAGGCTGCTTCCCCCCTCTTATACAGCAGGATCAATCGATAAATTATTGCATTATAGTGTGGATTAAGATGAGAGGGTTATTGAATGTTCATAGAGAGAAATGAAAGAAATGATTTATTTTGAGCTTTGTGGCAGAATTCAGTGCTGTTCAATTAGCAGTATTGAAAAAGTTTAAAACTTTAGAAAGTTCAGGAAGAATTTTGTAACTTTGAGAGCATTATTTTGTAATTTTTGTGTTGAGGAAGACAAACTTTTTTTGTTAAATTGAATAATGATGTCTCGTAGGTCAAACAATCGCTATTAACATCAATAATTAAATTAAGTAAGGTTATCTTTTAGCTCTCGTTCCTTTTTTAACACTATTTGTTATACTTTAAAAGGTCTGGATAGGCGTCGTTTGTAAATTACGTAACGCTTTAAGGGAGAAGGGTGTTCCAAAAGTCGTTTTTTGCAAGACGACCCCAAAAAGACTTTGAATCAGTTTCACACTTTTTGTTACTAATCTGATCCTTAGTCCAATGTTGAACAGAACCCTAATTTCCGTCTTGATATCAAATGTTAAGCAGTCATGCAGTCAAACTTGAAAATGAATTTGACTAGGATTTGAACTAACAACCGAAATTATTATGCTAAAATTAAGCAAGGTTCATGCTGAACGCACCACAGAGGCACTTACCTGCATGAACGAACGCTCTGCTTAATGCAAATTTAGTTTAAAACCTATTCATTAATGGACAGATTTGAATTCTTTTAAGTATGTTAATTGATAATTATGATAACAACCATTTATAAAATTGACACCTGCAAGAGCTCAATAAAGTTGTTATAAGAAAAAAACAAAAAAATAATCAAGTTTGGTAGATTGTTTGACTTCTAAAGTTTATTAAGTTGAATGATTAATTGATTTCTAAAGAAAGATAAGTGCACAGTTTAAAAGTTATACTTGAAGGTCTATTTTGATTTAAAATTTGTGTTTAAATTTTATTTTTTCTTGTAGTAGCAAGTTCTTAAACGTATGCAGGTTAAATCCCAATCGCATTTCTGTTTCCAGGAACGAGAACCAGATTAGAATCGTTTAAAATTTATAAACACTTTTAGCTCAATAGTTTAATATCTCATAAACCCTTAACTTATAATCAATAGCCAATATTTAACTGACATTTAATAAATGCGTTTAATTTGCAATAAAAATTGATTCCGTGCCATAAAACTGACAATTTTGTAAGTATTTTTTAAACAAACTGTTGCAAAACCGCAATTATTCTTAAAAATTTGCTATAAAATTATTCTAAAGATAAAAAACAAAGTTTTTCCTTCCCAAAGTGGCATTGATTTAATTTTATCGACTTTCTTTTCTACACTTTTTTTATCATCAAATTTTATGACATTTTCTTTGCTCTTTTCTAGCTTTTCGAGGGGTTGTTTGTAAATGATGTCTGAATTTATGGCTAGGAGGGGATTAGAAATTTTTTTGGATCAAAACTCTATAGGTAATAAAAACCTTAGAACTGACATTGGAGAAGGGAGACGGGGAGGGGGAGGGGGTTCTGTGATTCAAAATCTCGTTAATCTCGATATTTGATTGTGTCAAAGAAAGATTACGAATTCAAACCCTAAAACACCCTCTTTAAATATGTCCTTAATTCTCATAATTAAATAGACGTAACTTCCATTTAACCCCCACTTCATATCTCTTCAATAATTTTTCTCTCCTTTTCCTTCCACAGCACCATTAATACTCTTTCAATAATAGTACGATAAAGTAGTATATATTGATGTTCGACAGCAATCGGAATAAGAGCAAGTCAAAATAGACGCAAGCGAGCAAACTTTTCAAATTAAATCCGATTATTTACTTAAAGCTGTTAGCAGATCATTATTTATTTTCCGGCTTTTTTTTTCCTATAACGTATGTTGAATCAAGATTAGAACATAAAATAAAAAAGTTATAAGAAGTGCGCGAGTGAGTGAGAGATAGACGAGAAGAGGGAAGAAAGTTGTTCATGTGAAAAGGCACAGTCGTTGAAATGAGCGAACGAAAAACTTGAAGGAACAAGAAGAACAAAAAGTGAAAAAATCGGAAAAAAATGCGAAAACTTTTTACTTTTCTTTTCTTTTTTTGTACTTCTTGTTCTGTGAGCGAGTTAAGTTGGATGAATAAATGTGGAAGTATTTTGTCAGTTTGGAATAATTATGATATGACTTGCAGCTACAGTTTGAGTTGAATTTAGTGTTCTAATAAAAGTTTAAAGGAGTTTTTGACTTGGGTATTGAGAATAATTGTGATAACTTAGTTATTTTATGGAACTAGACATTCAAAGGCTTTTTGCTTGCATGAACCGCGACATACCAGGATGTGAGTTGTAAATACCCGTAGATCTAGCCTATGTGCTTTCGCATATCTACGTGACGTTAAAACGGCATTAAGACGTTGCATTACGTCGAAACTGTTAATAGACATTCAGACCCTCGCTAATGCTGTCCAAATGAAAGCAACAGCCAAGCATCAAAAGCTTAAAAATTACACAAAAGATTTCCTCATAAATCCGCTATGCTTAGATCTTCTTTTATCTCTGCGAAAAGCTTCCAAGTCATTTTCATTTATCCAACTTGCAAAAAGCTGAGATTTCCTTTTCTTCATGTTCCTTCCTTAAAGCTCAATAATGCGTTATCGAAACTTGTTCAACAACATTTTCGACACTTCTTTTATTTTTTGTTAAGGGCAATTCTTTGGATGAGTGGAATTTGAAAAAAATGAGCTTTCATAATCCAATGTCAATGAGTTTTGTGTCAATAAAATGTTTTCTTTAATTTCATATTACTGTGAAGGAATAATAAGCCAGAACTTTCGTAGATCATTAAGCATAATTAATTTTTTACAAGTGATCTATTGAAATGTTACAACTCACCCAAATTAAGTGAAAAATTGAAAAAATATGTTTGAAAATTTTGTATTTTTTCACGGATTAAGACAAAAAAAAAGCTTCTTTATAACTCGATGACACAAGGAAATTTTTCAAAGAATTGAAATATTTCATTAATTACTGACTTAATGCACACAAAAAAGCAACCTAATTAAAGATTTTTGTCTGTTCTATAACTCAGTAAAAGTTATTCAATGTTAATTTTAATAGTTTTCTCTAATTTTCGATTCTTTGGATGATGAAAATTGAAAATTCCGATTTCTGTCATCGAGTTATTGACAAAAGAATACAAATAACTTAATTAACACAGCGATTAGAAGTATATGATATCAAAAGGAGTGTACATTTTATATTTTTACATCGATAAGAGTCATAAAATCAGTGCCTCTGATGGGAAAAATCAATAAAATTTCGATTTTTTGCTGAAAATTTTCCGAAAGTCATCCAAAGAATTGCCCTTAATACCAAAAACTTTTTTATTTCGCTGCCTTTTTTTGTGCAAACCAGTAAAAAAGAGGTCAAATTAAGTTCGATGAGTTTTTATGTGGAAATTTTTTTTCATATGCTTTAAATGGAAAATGCTGTTGAATTTTTTTAAACGCCGAAAATAAAGCTCAAAACTTCTCATTCATCAAAACATCGCAATCGCTTCCATGAAACATAAGATACACAAAAAAGAAAGTTTCTATTTGACGTTAAATTATCTCATTAAAGAATTTCCTAAAGGTGTCAGCAAAGAACAAATTTCGGTACGTGATAAGAAAGTAAATAAGCGAAAGGCATGAAGAACATGTGTGACACAGAAGATACAATTTTTATCTCTCATAGTTTTCTGCTGAGATCTATGGAATGGTTTGTAAGTGATGTTCATCAAAATGTGGATGTTTTCTGTATGTCCATTTGTCTGGTTCTCTCCCCAACTATCTACCTTACCACCCCTCTTCCTGTTGCATTGAGAATCTTGGCTTCATACCCAAACTTATTATAAAATATGACA